AAACACTGTTCGCAGGGCGGACTTCGACAGTTTTGGAGGTGGTTGTTTTCGAGTGCATGATTATTACCTCTCACCATTTTGAATGAACGTGAACAATCACTAAAAATATCATTGCAAGAAATGGTCTAAACTTGCAAAATCGACATGAATACGTGACCAGGGGGTAGATGGCCACTCGCATGGGTGTAATGTTGAGCATTTGGGGGCATGTTGAACCCGCTGGCAACCACTGCATCCTTTCAATCTCCAAATCAATTCCTGGCCACCAAACGTAACTTCTAGCCAGAGCTTTCATTCTAACCACACAAACATGACTTTCGTGTAATATTTGTAGCACTTCGCTTCGTAACTTTGTGGGAATGACAACTCTGCTCCCCCACATAATACATCCTTGGTGCATAGTTAGTTCGTTTCTTCGAGAGTAAAAGGGTTGCGCACGCAGGTTGGGGTCTTTATTTTCATGCCAGCCTTTCATGACATGCTCATACACTTGGGCGAGGGTAGAATCTCGTTGGGTTGCTTTGCGTACTTGCTGCCAAGTTACAGGCAACATGCTGAACTGTGACACATGAAATGCCTCAACCGGGTCAACAGACTGATTTTCTTCATCTTCAGTGGTTGCTAGAGGTAAACGGGACAATCCATCTGCATTACAATGCTGTGTTGAACTACGGTGTTCAATCTCGTAGTCAAACCCTGAAAGGAATAGTGCATATCGTTGGACTCGAGCAGCAGTCGTTGCTGGTATAATCTTGGTTGGACTGAAAATTGCTGTCAATGGTTTATGATCTGTTCGCAGAGTGAAATGTCGTGCAAATATGTAAGTATGGAATTTCTTCACACCCCATACTAAAGCCAATGCTTCCTTATCTATCTGAGAATAGTTTTCCAGTTTTTGTAAGGGACCTTGAAGCATAAGCTATTGGTCATTCAGTATTATCACCCATCACTTGTGTTAAAGCTGCCCCCAACCCATACGGAGATGCATCGCATTCTAACTTGATTGGGCGTTGAGGGTCATAATGTGCAAGGACTTCCTCGGATGCAATTAACTCCTTTGCTTTCAGAAAAGCTTGCTCACATTCCGAGGTCCATTTCCACCGTCTCTCTTTTTCGAGCAACTGGTTTAGTGGTTGAAGTAAGGTAGAAAGGTTTGGAAGGAAATCGTGGTAATAATTAATAAGACCAACAAAGGAACGAACTTGGGAAACACTCTCAGGACGTGGTGCATTTATCACAGCATTCACTTTCTGTTGGGACTTGTGCAGACCCAGTTTGCTGATCTCATGACCACAGAACTCGATTCTTTCTTTGAAGATTCGCACTTACCGATGTTGGCTCTGAGACCATGTTCACTAAGTCGACTGAGAACTTCTTCTAGGTTGTCAAGATGCTCTTGGTCTGTTACACCAGATATGATCATGTCATCAAGGATACATTGCACATGGGGAATTCCTTCCAATATCTGATCCAATAGCTTGTTGCAATAGCTTCTTGCTTTTTCCAATAGCTTCTATTCAATAGCTTGTTGCCACATTGCGGGGGCAGATGCTACACCAAATACAAGCCAATTGTATTGGAATAATACTTTATGGGTATTAATTGTTAGAATTTCTTTGACTCTTCTTCCATTTCCATCTGTAAATACGCCTGTCACAGATCAATCTTGCTGAACTTTTGCCCACCGCCGAGGGAGGCGAAAATAGCATCAATCCGTGGGAGAGGGTATTGTTGAACGTGCAAGACTGGATTGATGGTTTGCTTGAAATCACCACACAATCGAACATTGCCATTCTTCTTTATCACTGGAACAACTGGGGTTGCCCGTTCACTCCAATCAACTTTGGTCAAGATGCCATCATTCTGCAACTTGGTCAACTCAACCTCAACTTTTGGTCGCAGAGCATATGGTACTTGTCTTGCTTTGCAGAACTTTGGCTGGCTGTTTTCTTTCAGGTTCAGCTTTGCTTTGGTAGTCTTTAGCAGACCAATTTCTTCTTCAAAAACATCACCATACTTTTCGAGGATCTCTTGTAATCGGGTTGATGGATTTCCTGGTGGTGTGGTTGCCAATGTGTTGATTGCTTTCCAATCTAGTGTGATCTTTCCTAGCCAGTCTCGACCAAAAAGGGCAGGCCCCTTTGTTTCGACCACATACAAATTTCGCTTCTGTTCACAGGAAGTATTGTCTTGGCTTCCCCCCTCAACTCAAGTGAATCTTTCATGGCCGTTTCCATGGCAACCGCAAGTTTTAGCGCTTTCTCGAACGTAAGGCTGGTTTCGACAAGTAAGCGTTTCTGAATAGATTCATTGTACTGTATAGTCCAAAACAAATCTGTCCCTTAACGAGTCATTTAACGCTGTACCAAACTCACAGTGTTCGGATAACTTCTTATTTCAGCCACATAAGTATTAATATTTTCATCGTCTCTTTGATCCTTTATGAAATCTAAATCGTTCTGCGATCAGTAAGGGTTTGGGCGACAAATGTCCCTTGCCACTATTTGATCAAATGATTTTGTCGAAGGTTTATCAGGAGAAGTCAGTGTTCGCAATAAACTATACGTCTTACCTCCGATTACTATCAACAATACTGGAACTCTTTTATCATCGGCTACATTGTTCGCAAGGAAATACTGTTCAACTCTTTCTATATATGCAGTCCAATCGTCGCGTGTTTCATAATCAATTGAAACTGAACCCATAATCAATTGTTTATAATCCTCGTCGCCAATGTAGTGTTTTTCGATATTGATTGTGTTTTTAATATCATGTCCAAAACAACTGTCATGCCTCGTGGTGATGACCCCAAAGCATCATGGGTCATGCACCACAGTAAGTGTGACATATCTAGCGTAAAACATTCGCGATACCTATCTTTATTGACGGATTACCCCTGTATAACCTCTCAAATAACCAATTGTGCTCTGCCGAAATTTGTAAACACAAACAATGATTAAGAATGCTATATGACATAAAAAATTATATTCATATTCTGTTAATTATTAACTTTGAGAATTTTAATGAAACTTAATTGTTTTAAAATGTTATTAGATCTTCTGTGAACGAAATGGAGCTGAAATACTTCGTTCGCAGAGCATTCTATCCCCTGTACTTTTGAGATATACAATGATGTTATGGCATATGGGGCCCAGACAATCACTTTCAGACGTTGTTGCATTGGGACACATGTAGTTTTATGATTGTAAGTGGATCATTACAGTATTTTACACACAATACCACTCCCCTCCTCTCCTCTAAGGTGACACTGACCCCTCGTCCTGTTTTTCAAGGTGACTTTTCCAATTTATTTAATTCCGAGTAGAAATGTCTGGGAAAATTTATGTCTTCGATGTACTTTATAATCATTGGAATTCTGCAAGATTTCACCCCCAAAATGCTTGAAATCGCATTTCAGGGACTCTAGATTTCAAAATGTTTCCTGGGGGTCATGCCCCCGAACCCCCCTAGACGGTCTCACGACTCTCACGCCTTCGGCGTTCGCTTCGCCCACCAAAAATTAAGGTCTGACTACGCCACTGCTAGCTATACATGACACAAACCGTAGGTTTCACCAGGGCGTAATAAAACACACTGTGTTTTACAGCGCCCTGGTTTCACATATTTCACGGCATGGTTTGCTTTCAAGACCCTGGCTGTATGTACATCATCTAACTGCACCTACATAAGTATACATATACTTAAATACTATAAGGAACCCAGTTTGCAATATTGCACGGCATGGTCTACTTTCCAGACCCTGTGAAGATATAAGAAAACCATTTACTAAATGAGATACAGGAAAATTACACAACACAAAATCACAAGCGACTGTGCAGGTCTTATCACCATTCACCAATGCCTAATTTGCAAAATCGCGGCATGGTTAAATCCGATCCTGTGATAAATATGCATCATCAAATCACACCTATCCATTACCAAGTAATAACTTTACATACAGTACATGCTAGCTTCAATTACGATATTTCTCCAATGGATTGACATACAAAAGATACAAAACAACGTACGCATTATACGCGTGCACCTAATATACAATATTTCACGGCATGGTCCACTTTCCAGACCCCATTGAAAATATAAGAAACCATCAAATTAATAATGCTTATAAGTATAAACCACTAACCAAAGGTCCAAGACGCATGTAGAGGTTCTATTACCTATCCCAAAATTAAAATACTAAACTTTAAAGTTAATATTATTACTCCATTCAGGTTTGCTGGTTTTTCTTTCATTTCGCAGATCCACAAGAAGTCGTTTCATGAAGACATGGGTGGCTTTGATCATGTTCAGGAATTAATTTGGTGCAGTTCATGTGATTCGCTGTTTACGTTGGCGTGAATTTGAGGATCGATCGATAAGCGTCTTAGCACACCATTCAGTTGGATGTTTTCGTGAAACCGATCCTACAGGCTGTAGAGCTCCATTATCCCATGTGACCTATCGCTAACAGAAGTGTGGGCTGAAGTATACTTCCATTCTAAGTACTTCTGGAGTTTACCATCTTTTGCCAACGATGTTGTTGCGCGGAATGGAACCACTGTTCATTATTTGGATTAAAAAACTGGGTTCAATGTGGTTCACAAAAGTCGCCAAACGAGTTGGAATGTCAGAAATGTTTACTGTTGGTGGATGTCGTAACGATCTTAGTAAATCCTGAGGACCCTCGCTCTAACGACAAAGATAATTGTATAAAATAATGTTATGTGGACAGGCACCGGATGCCCAATCACCTAAAAAACAGCATCAGCAAATCGTCATTTTCATAATTTCACTAACTAATCTCTCCAAAATACTACAAATGGAGACCACGCAATAATAAGGCATGCATACAAACACTTGTCATTTTCTCAGTGTATGTAGTTTGTTTAATTATTATTAAAGAAAGAAAAATACTTTAAAATAAAGTAGGTTAAGTGGGTTATTGAATTGCACACTGATTAACATTGAGTTTATATTCACGAAAAGTTTCCCAGATCTTTGTGAATAATTATATATAATGTTCTGGTACGGTGAGTTTTTTTCCTTAGGAACCCCACTGATTCGTGTTTGGTTAGACGAGAGCCTTGTTTGAACCCCACTGAACCACGCAGTTTCTCCAGTTTATACGTTTACCTATAACCCACTCACCTCGGCGGCTCGTAACCACTTTTTGTATGTTATCATTTTAAAAATATATACGATATTATTGTTCTTATTTTTTGTCAAGATCTGAATTGGCGACTAATTAATCCGTATTTTACGCCGGCTTCCGTGGGAAGGAGGCTGATTAGTGCTCTTTCCGATTCGTTAAATTTACCATATTTTTGGATGACATTTGAGTAATATCGACACAGGACTAGTGTATAAATAAAAAAAATACGAAGTTTTTCCTTGTGAATTACTCGCGACCTGCTGCCTGAGGTGGCATCAATATATTGTACTATTATATTAGTAGGACACATTGAAAATGAACCCCATTTTACACGTGAAGTAAGAGCTCCACCATTAAATTTGCATTGAGAAGAAATTATCCAAAATTCTTAAAATTGTAAGGTAAATGTGCTCAAAACAATTATTACTATCAATTCAATTCAATTCAAATTCGTGATTATGATTGAAAATTGAAGAAACAAATGTTGTCACTTTTCGTCAAGATCAAGAGAGACTAAATAGTCCCCCTTTCAATGGACAAGGAGCCTGTTCAGGCCCCCTTTCCGTTTTTGAATTGTTGCTGTATGCTTTCACACGGAGAAAAAGTAAGTAAAATTAATTAAATAAGAATGCTTCTAGTCTCGGTTATTGAATGAAATTGCCTAAATTTCAGAAAGATTGATAAAATACACCCTTTCGATAATTACGTCACAACTACACTGTTTTCAACTTAAATAAATGGAAAGGATTTCAAGCTTTTTTCTCATGGGCTTTGCACAGAGAAGCAAAACATCCTTCAACGCAAGCATGAAAAAGGATTCTTTATTTTGAGCAATAATTGTGGAAATAAGCTTTAACACGAAAACGAGGCTCCATGACCTGGAGCCTCGTTTTCGTGTTAATGCTCATTTCCATTTATTGATCAAAATCCAAAATTGTTTTTCGCGCATGTGTTGAAGAAGGATGTTCTGTTTCGCTTTGCATAACCCATGAGAAAAAAAGCTTAAAATCCTTTCCATTTAAGATGATCCTAAGTTGAAAACAGTGTAGTTGTGACGTAATTATCGAAAGGGTGTATTGGACAATCTCTGCCTATTCGGGTCATGCAGATACTAGTGCTTGACGCGAAAATTGACAAGACTTATATTACCATCAGATTTCATCCATTCTATCTAAAGTTTAAATACGTTTCTAGTCTTGATAATTAGGTAATATTTCCTAAATTTCAGAAAGATTGATAAAATACAACCATTTCTATCTCGACATGAGATCCACCTTTGAATTTACTATATGATTAAATTGTTAAACACATCCGAATTCATCATGATAAATTCGCGGCACCTAACACTAACCTCAACCCTAACCCTAAACTAACTTTTTTCAACTTTTTTGAAAATCTAACTTTTTAAACTCACTTTTTCAACCTTTTTTTAAACTTTTTTCTGAAAATCTAGAAAGTCTCCCCACATCCGCGCGACCAGCCTCCCCCTTAGTGCCATTACATTTATAATAAAAACTCTTGTCTAATGCTTGTGGTTTTATGATTTACTTAATTGATAAATTCGAAATGTGCCGCGAATATCATAATGATAAATTCGGACGTGTTTAACAATTTACTCATATAGTAAATTCAAAGGTGGAGCTCAGTGTTGCTCTATCTATATCCCATTATCAATGGGGACTAATTAGTCCCCCTTTAGTATAAAGGAAGCCTGATCAGGCACGCCTTCTATTTTTGAATTGTTGCCACTGCCACACGGAGAAAATGAGTAAAATTGACTGAATGACTCAAATAAGTACGCTTCTAGTCTCAATTATCCAATAAAATTGCCTAAATTTCAGAAGGATTAATAAAATACGACCATCTTTATCTACATGCCATTATCAATAGGGACTAATTATCCCCCTTTTAGTGGAAAGGGAGCCTAATCAGGCCCCCTTAGCTTCTCATTTTTGAATTGTTGCTGCTGCCAAACGGAGAAAATTAAGTAAAAACCAGAAAATATCAAACAAGTATAGTCAATTATTGAATAAAATTGCCCGGCTAAATTTCAGGAGCATTGATAAAATACAACAATATCTAGCTGCCTATTCGGGTAATGCTGATGCTGGTGCTCTGTATCATCCTATAGAATGCTTGACGGCAAAATTGACCGAATTTACAAAACCATCAGCTTTCATCGATCAATCTAAAATTTAAATATGTCTCTTTACACGGTGACTAGGTATATTTACCGAATTTGAGAAAGATTGAATTTAACACAATTAATCTCTGCATAATTCCGCTCAGCCGGACGCTGGCGTTGTATTATATATATAGGAGTAGGGCTTCACTGCAATATTGACCAGATTTACATAACCATCAGCTTTTATCGAATCAGTCCAAAATTTAAATATGTTTCGTTACTCAGTGGTTAGGTAATATTTCCTAAGTTTCAGAACGTTTGAGAAAATGGACAATATCTGCTTGCTCGGGTCATGCAGATGCTACCCACCGGGCACACGACGTTGTTTCAACGTTGAAATTTGTTAGAAAAAAGGTTGCGACGTCGACAACCTAATATCTACGTTGCTCTGACGATGTTTTACAAACATTGGTTCAACAGCAGGCAACAGACGTTGAATTAACGTTCATTCATGGTTAAATGTACGACGTCGATTTGTGAACCAATCTCAACGTTGTTAGTTTAACGTGGATTCAACGTTGAATTATGGTTGACGAGATTGGCAACCTAATTTCAACGTTGTTTCAACGTCGAAACAGTAATATAAATATTGTTGATTTCATAAGGATTGTCATTGTTTTCTTTAAATATAATACATTTTATGTCACTTACCCCACGAAAACACGATTTCAGCCATATTTTGCCCTCTTGTTTGCTTTTTATCGCCGAATCTCGCAAATATCATCCAGTTATTGTACTTGTACATAATCATAAATGGCTGAAGAAGATTACAAAGAAGGTTTCATCCACTTTTTTAACAGTGCAGTGTATTTTGCCTTCGATATTGTGTCCTTCGATATTCCGCCAAATCAGTGCCGCCATTTTAATGGCTCGCCGCTTCTCTGTCTGATAAATGCAACTTCTTCGTTTCCATATGTATTTAGATTACAGTATCTAAGAATACTTCATTGTAGAATAGTCTCAATCCAAATATTGGCAACATTTGTCCCATTAGGAAGGAAAAATCCTCCCGTATACCATTTAGGTCCAAAATAAAAAACAAATCATTTGAAAGTCACGCGCAATCTTCGCGAAAACTTCTCGTGGACACATGACAGGGGGGGTTGAATATTTTCACGAATATGTTGGCCACCACAGAAACATAACTAAATATATTGTATTTATTGTATTTTTATGATTTATGACAAAACTACGCAAATATTTACTGTTTTTATTATATATATATATATATATATATTGTTGAATTGCCATGTCACTTTCTTGAGTTCTTTACCAGAATATTATTGAAGTATAGTTGAGCCAGCTGCCTAAGATTCTGGAGTAGGATAGTTGTTCTTGACTTTGCAGTATCCCGTAATAACCTCATACTATAGGGACGTTCCTGCATGTGAAGACTAACAGCATTTCCATTATGCATGATTTCCACCTGCCTATAGTATTGTAGTTTCAGAAGAATGAAAATCTAAAATATAATGCAATTGGTGCATTTCATTTCACATGCATGCATGCATGCATGCGAGAATTGATTTAAACTACCTGCTTTCGACGAAAACCATAGATTTTTAAGATGGCACCCTACAGTTGTTGAAAAGAACAAAAGCGACAGATAGTCGTTTTAAATAAATTGTAAAAAATTGTGTGAATTTTACAATTGTGCAAATGAGGCATTTTTGTGTTCGAGTTTTATGTATAAATTAGCATGAAATGTCACCTCAGAATGCGCGAAATGGCATATCCGAGTACTGTTTTCCGGTTGAATACCCTAGACCTAGACCTATTTACAATTGTGATCATGTGTACATAGCTATTTAAATTAAGGTTGCCCCAAGCAAAGCGGAAAAGTCGAATACGAGCCCGAAATGCTTGCTGAGGATCGCCAAATCCTTCAATTGCAACATATTACTTTAATTAGTATTTTTAGGCATTCAGGATCCAACATTTCAGACATTTCTGGTATATTTTAAAATTATCAGCGTAATTTCGGGAATTTTTGTATATTTATATCAGGTATATTAGATACCAGGACCCCCCCCCCCCCTGGCCGACCCCAATAAATATGGATCGTGGTTTTTATAACTTTGCATGTCGTCTTTCGGCTGGATTTAAAGAGAGCCTTCGACACGGTCGACCATGCTTCAACCTCCAATTGTATGGGATTACTGATACGGCCTTTAATCTACTTAAATCCTACCTTACTGACCGCTTACAGGTTATGTAAATGTAAACTTTCAAATCCAAGAACAGAAAAGTGTGGAGTTCCCCAGGAATCGATTCTTGGCCCGCTCCTACTCTTATACGGTATATCCGTATATATTAATGATTTTCCTAATTGTTTGCAGTTTACCGCTGCTCGATTATTTGCTGATGACAAGAATATAACAGCAAGTGGCAAATCCATTGAGGAAGTGGAGCGGACCTTGAATCCTGATCTCATCAATGTCAAATTTGGCTTTCAGCAAATAAACTCTGCCTGAATGTTTTCAGATGTCAAAACAGAATACCTTTTGATCGGCTCTCTAACCAAAAACTGGAGATTTCACGAACATGTTAATTGTTAGTGACAACCTCACAGCAACTTTATAAAATAACAGCATCGTGACAACTTATTGACAATTTTACTATACAAGCATGCTGCGAAAACTCTTGTTGACAAGGTCAACTTACTCGCAGCAAGTTGTTCCAATATCCAGACCATAGAGATCCAGATCTGATATATTGATAACAATAAGCATATGTATAGAACTTGTTACAAACAGCCTCTATTAGCCTTGTTGGAACCGCTTGTGGCAAGCAGCGCCGGTTTTACACAGTAGCAGATGCGGCATATGCCACGGGCCCCGCGCTTTCCAGGGCCCCACGATTTAGGCTAAAAGTATATGATGCTATATTATTATTATTTATCTTTTTAGCCTAGCGGGGGCCCTTACTCCTAGGTGGCGTGGCGCCTTTTAATGTACTTTCCAAATGCCACTAGATCCATCACTGGATAAATTAGTTAGCAGCGAAGCTTTGATGTATTTGAGGACAGTACTTAGGGGCGGACCATTAAAAATCCAGGGAGGGGGGTATAAAATTTTTGCGGCACGATTTTTTTTTCAGTCTCATGTCTCTGCAGGATTTTTTTTATGCATTTAACCTCTGCAAGAATTTTTTGGGTTTATGCTTGATAATTGTACTATAATCTGCTATTGTGTTAATACTTCCGAGTTCCGTCACAAGTTAAACCTACTTAATCAATATGTTACATAGAACGTTCCAGAACATTTTACTGAGAAAATACATAGTCACGTTTGCGTCATGCTCGTGCAACCATGAGAAACATTGCGCAGTAACTTTACGGCGTTACATCATTTTTGAATCACGTAATTTTCTAAGAATAACTTTCGTTCAGCATAAAAGTGATTGAGGAGCCAGTCATGCGTATCTACTATTGAATGTTTTGTACGTAAACTGATATCAATTGGTAAACTCCACACAAAATGAATTCTGCTGGTGGCGGAGGGGACCGAGATCGCAACAAGGGACGTAAATATCAGTCAGGCTCAGGAAAACGTAAGGAGAAAGAAGAGCGAGCAGCAAGGGAAAAGAAAGTTCTGTCTAAAATGCCAAAAATTCGTGAAAACAAGTAACAGTGCGGTTCTCGAGACAGTTGACATTGTCGGCGGTACTCATTTGGCAGATAATTTGAATCCTGAAATCTTTAAGGAATTGGAAAAAAACACACATTATGTCGATACTACTGCTGAAGTTGCAGCTGAATGTAAATCGGTTTGCGACGATGACCATATTGATACAACCAACCTTAACAGTCCTTCATACTTACCTGATTTGGGCTTGTGGCCTACCCTTGTTTCTAAAAAAATAATATGAGAGAATACTGGATAACTTATGGAAGTAGTGAATGCCAGAATCTGGATGCCGACTTCAGTGCAACGTCTACAAGATTTGAAAGGGGAGAAGTATAATCGACAATGCCAGAAAAGTTTATTCACGTTCGCACACTCAGGGATGCCGGAACCCCGGGTGCAGCGGGTGCAAGTGCACCCCTTGCGTTTTGCATTTTCAACTTTGTGGGTGCAGTACGGGTGCAGAATACGGGTGCAACGGGTGCACAAAGTGCCCTTTTTGCGTGAAAAATTTTCATTAAAAATTGCATTTTTTGCGCAAAGGGCATTTTTGAAAAATTCAATCTATGTTATTTCCGGAAAAATGTTTTAATTTCGGGAAAAAATAACATTTTCCGGAAACATTTTCGGTATGTCCGGAAAATTTTTTTCGTATTTAGGAAAAATTGTGGTATGTCCGGAAAGTTTTTTTACCCCTAAAATGGCTCGTGTACAAAACAGCAGTGACTCGTGTACAAAACAGCAGTATCCGCGTAACTGGCTTTGTTTTTCACCGTCTATGCTAGCCATCTACTGCTTCCCATGTAAACTGATGACAGACGTTGAATTGTTTGGAAAACTGGGATGCAACGATTGGAAACGTGCTACCCAAGCAATTTCATGCCATGAAAAAAGCGCCGGACATAGAAATGCTATGGTTCAACTTTTACTGCGCAGCGACGCAGGCAATCGTGTTGATGCAGCATTGGTTCGGCAAGAACAGGAAGAACGTGATTATTGGCGTTCTGTTTTAGAGCGTGTAGCAGAGACTATCCGCCACCTTGCAGTGCGAGGCTTAGCTTTTCGTGGTACAAATGAGATAATTGGTTCCGTCGACAGCGGTAACTTCTTTGGCACACTGGAGCTACTGGCCAAATTCGATCCATTTATGGCTCAGCATATCAATCAGAAAGCTAACAAGGGCCAAGGACATACATCATATCTTTCCAATACGGTTTGCGAGGAGTTCATCCATTTAATGGCCAAGCGAGTTCTTCAAAATATTTTAGACGAACTGAAAGCATCCAAGTATTTCTCTGTTTCGGTTGATTCTACACCAGATATCTCTCATGTTGACCAACTCACTGACTTGCATTGTCCGGTACGTTCTGCCATCGAGTCCTGTGGAACGCTTTGTGGCTTTCCTAGATATGCAGGGCCATACTGGGAAAGTGTTGGCGGAAAGTTTACTTGGCTTTTTAACAAGATATGAAGTGAACATTGCTGATTGTCGGGGCCAATTATATGATAATGCCAGAAACATGAGTGGAAAATATAACGGTATGCAAGCTGTTATTCACCGAAAGTGCCCACTTGCCGAGTATGTGCCTTGCGCCGCACATTTTCTCAATTTAGTCGGCCAATCAGCAGTAAGTTGCTGTCTGGAATCTGTCGGTTTTTTTGGCTTTGTCCAAGGTTTATATTCTTTCCTCGTTACTTCAACACACCGATGGAAAGTAGTCCATAATCGGCTGAAGAAAAAAGGCTTGCCCACAGTCAAACGTCTGTCAGACACTCGTTGGTCAGCGCATGCCGCCGCTGTTAAAGCCGTGGTCAAGGGCAACGAAGAAATCAAAGCTGGATTAAAAGAGATTGCTGCAGACCCAGAGCAGAAGGGAGACACTCGAAAAGAAGCTCTTAACCACCCTTCTAATATGGATCGTTTGGAGACTGGCATACTTGCTCTGGTATGGCACCGTATCTTGAAGCGTTTTAATTAACAGTAACAACCAATTGCTTCAATCCGCGGATCAAGACATTAACTCGGCTGCTGCTATTTAGGAATCCCTGGAAGAGTACGTGAAAAATATGAGACCAAAATTTGAGCAGTTGGAGGCTGAAGGGAAATTGCTCAGTGGATGCGAACATTACGAAGACGAAATGAAACGAAATCAATCGCCAGCGGAATCGTCGTTATGATGAACCAGGATCAGCTCCGGAAGTAGAACTTACACCTGCCGATAAGTTTCGAACGGCAACGTTTTTGGTTATTATCGATAATTTGGTTGCTGAGTTGAAAAAACGTAAGGAAGCATACGCTACTGTTGCGTCAAGGTTTGGATTTTTGAGAACTATGAAGGAGCTACCTGACGACAAACTGACACTGAGTGCAAATCAGCTTTGTAAAATTTACCCAGGCGACCTTGAGCCGAGTCTTTCAGACGAGCTATTATAGCTCTGCCTCCCTGAAAACCGAGCTTGCCGAGAGATACTTGGATTCGTCAAGCTCTGTAGAAGCACCAGTCCTCTCTGAAATTCCTTCGTCGCCCGCACCATCTGAGGATTCTTCAGCGCCATCTTCACCAGTTACTACAACTCCAAGTGATGATGAAGATATGTCATTCAACGATGACAATGAGCTGCATGAGCATGATCAAACCATGGAATTCGAAAACAATGATGCAATGAAACTAGAATCACCGGAGGTTCGGATGTACAAGCTCATATTAGAAAACAAACTAGAAACAGTATTTCCAAATATAGAAGTCGCACTTCGTATTTATCTTTCTATTATGATATCGAATTGCTCTGGCGAAAGATCTTTTTCAATATTGCGTTGCATAAAGAACTCGTACAGATCCACCATGGGTCAGAGACGGTTGAACGACACGATATTACTAAGTGCTGAACAAGACATTCTTCGTGAGCTTGACATAAATTCACTCATCAATGACTTAGCCTGCGTGGCAGGCCCTCAGTTTTATGGGGGGCCTGATTTGCAACGGGCAGGATTTTGGCGGGCACGGGGGAGGATTGAGGGCCTGCAGGAAAGCCCACCTTTCACGACTACACGCCCCAGTCATAACATAATTAATGGCTTTCTAAAATTGACCAATAAAAATTCAGCTGCAATTGGGGAAAACCCTGGGCGAAAGAAATAACTTCGCTTGCATCAAAACATGTCAATCAAACAATGTCGCGAACTGCTCTGGAGGCAATTGATAAAACTAGAATGGTGAAGCGAATAGTGCGAATAGTCCGCGAATTAATAGTCGACGAATAGTACGAATAGTCCGCGAATAGTCGACAAATAGTACGAATAGTCGACGAATAGTAGGAATAGTCTGCGAATAGTGCAATAGATAGTTTGCAGGGCTTTGCACCGTGCTGTAGAACTAAATTTACCGAAGCAGAGCTGGGGGGGGGGGGGGGGGGACTCTATTGA